ACATAGTATTTCTGAGAGTGATGAATGCTTCTATCAATTCTTAGAATCGAGGAAGTTAAAGTTAAATTAATTAGAGAATATCGTTAAGGACTTTTGTCAATAAATTTATAAAGACATTAATTGAATACTGATCACAGTATTTTTAATGTGGACACTCTACGAACATGCGTGCCTGTTCCATATTCCTTGGAAGCATTTTCGAGATATTAAAATCTGCAAATTGTACGAAATTTATTGAGCAAAAAATATGAAAAATGAACGTATCATAGTAAATGAAGATGGATTCGACAGACTGAGATAGCTCAGGACAAAACAGTTGCACACGTCAGTGACTGGCTTGGAGGTCGTTGCATTCGTGCCCCGACGGTGGCGGATTTTCACCACTTGATCGTTAGCTAGGTCGAACCCAGACGGTGTCAGGAGGAGAATTCTAGCGACCGCTTACTCTAATTGGGAGATTTCCTCTGATCAAAACCAGGCGACCGAAGCTAGTCCGGAAGAAACAGCGCAAGGACCGCGCCAGATATTTTCTTCCTAATCGTTGTCTTATCCTCTCCTCTTATACATACACACAAACTTACGTGCACTGCACTGCCACACACGCCAGGAAACCAGTCAGGGAAGCTTAGGTCTTGACCTGTCTCGGCCAGTGCCCCGATAGCGAACGTTCTTGGAAAGGACGCCCCTCCCCTGCTGACGTGTAGGTCGCCGCCGGATCTCACGTACTAGCGGAGGAAGAACACCGCCACCTCCCGCAATAGTACATACACCGCACTAGCGGAATTAGAAATGAAAGCAGTTGTCGCGCCCGGAAACGCAAAATAATCAAGCAATATAATGACTTATAACTCCCATGCGATATAGGAAATTGCTAATGGATAATTTAAACGAAATTTCAGTGCATGGTTTTTGTTAGTGAATCATAAGCATTGTAAAAATTTTATTTAAAACCAAATTTATTTTTCGTTTAGTTAACAAAATATGCTAATTAATTCCATAAAAAATCGTTGTTTATCCCTATATTAATGGCACATGTACAATTAAAACTCAACCGTGTCAGAATGTAGAAAAAGGATGAAAATTGTTTAATTAAGTCACTATTACACAGACGTGGCCAAAGTATTTCCAGTCGGCCGTGAAACACGAAACGAACGTGTAAAGAAATAACATAATTATTATTTAATTAATATTTAACATTAGCAAATTAAATGTTTTACAATGAAAACATTGGGGCTTAGTATATTATAAATGTAAAAAATATAAACGTCAGTTGTGGTTACCTGTTCTAAAGAAGTACACCAGCAAAACTGACGCAGAAGTGACTAGTTTATCAACTTTCCAATGTTTATACAGGGTGTTTTCTCTGTCTTACCCGTCTTAACTTTGCGTGGGAAGTAATGTATTTAAGAATTGGTCAGCTTCTAATATTTCATCCGCAATATGTTGAACATCTTCCTTTCCAAACATTTCTTGCAAATGAAAACATTGCAAAGGCCCACTAAAATCGGTATTTTGCAGAAGCAATTGTACGTCATCAAATGTATGCCCTAAATTGTCAAAATGTACATGAATTCCGGAAACACTTCAGTTATTCTTAAATGGAAACGGAAAATATATTCAACGTAACACGTGATTAAAGCGGTATAATATAACTTGTGGTAAATAAGAAAACTTGCCTCAATCGTCGCTAATTTTCTTGAACGTATCACTCCTGCAATGATACCCCTATTTATACATTTGTTTCGTTAACTACTTTAATGTTACAGTTTGCCAATACCTGGAATAGTTTTGGAAAGAAAAAAAGAATAGATTATTTAGTTCAAATTTTCTTGTGACATCTTTGTTTCTTGTTGATAAATGTATTTAAAAAATGATTATTTACACAGCCTGTAATGGAAAGTTTTCTTTTAGGATGTGCTCAGGAAAATTCAGTCTTTAGCACATGTTAAAAGTCAGACGATGCTTTAGTATTCAGCTAAGTCTGTGAATGCAACAAAGAAAACGAAGTAATGACAGATGACCGCATCCGCTACTACTGACTTAAACGTACCATTATGTGATTTATATACTTGAATGAAAATAATATGAAAGGCAGTGAGGCTGCCTAAAAATAGTGTATGACACACAAGGTAAAAGTGATTTTATTTCGCTCAAAGGTTTGCACTACTCCTGTTGGTTTCGTGTCACATCCTATCCTATTCGCAAAATAAAATATAACTTTTACCTCTGGTAGGTATCGTAAAATAACTATTCTTTCAACACAATACAATAAGACAACACCATTGAAGTATATTCTGGAAATCATGGACCCTGTAAACAATATTTTTTCTAATATGTTTATTTTCTCGTATTATAGAGAAATATTTGTAAAACTGCAACTTCAGTGCAAAACATTGGTGTGATTTTGACGGAAATACAATTTTGGGGCCTCTAATACAAAAAAGTGCTCGTTTAAAATACTCTCTTTGGTGTGGATGCCTATAAACAATACCAGCGTTTCAACCATCGATCTGACACGATTCGAGACTCCGAATTTGAAACGAACGATTTCTAAGGGCAACTGTGCATGAAGTCCGTGTAACACTTTCAGAACGTTTTCAAAAATAACACCAATTTCTTTTCTTCATTTTTTCTTCAGTGAAAGAAAAGGTTCGATAAAAATCAAATCACAAATGATATTTATTAAATTGTATACGTTTTCGAAAGTTTCAAAAATTCAGAATGTGGGCTCACGTCTACAAATGCCTTCTTGAGAGATTTTCCAAAAGGTCTCTAAAAACCAAAAACATCATTTGCTCACGAAGGACAGGAATTATCTGTCGGTATAATACACAATGTATTAAATCACATAGTATTAGCGCAATTTTGATTCAAATGTTGATTTTTCAAATGAAAATGCACTTAACATTAATTAAAATCATACCTTGGCCAGTGTGATTTAAAACTTTGAAAATCTAATTAAACAATTAATATCATTCTATAATGTATTACCTGCAATGACTATATCAATATAAACAACAGTGATTATTATTATTTTTATAATTATTAAGGATTTAGTTGAAAGAAAAAGTTGCTAAAACTATTGTTAATCTTCTACGGATAGCATCAATGGAAAAGGAATTCCGGGTGTAAAGAAAAGTTTCAACTGCCTAAAAAAGTTTTATTGCACTAGAAAACAGAGCAATATTATTTACAAAGTGTTCAGATCTCCGTTCTTTCTTCTTGTGGAAGATGGAGACGTCCTTTGAAGTACCATTGTTGGGGGGTGTAAAAGTCCATTCCCTTGATGGGGCGATGCGAAAGGGGAAGACCCAGGGGGTAGGTGTGGGGTATTGACGTCGAAGCCCACCGCGCAGCTGGCGATAGGTCTGGGCACTTCCATGGGCCCTTCGCTAGGGCGTAGACCATGACGAACAGCACGAAGGGCATGCTGGTTCTTGTAACACCCTTGGGCGCCAGCAGGGCGCTGGGGGGAAGCCGCAGTAGCTGAGCGATCTGCAAAGAAGAAAGGTGGTGAATGAATTCGTTCTGCTCCGAGACGGTGAGACCTGAAGCGAGAAGAGGCAGGATAGTCAGCAACGGAGGTTACACTCGTCGATGGTACATGTCCTCGTGGTTTTGAGGCGTTGTCATCTTGGCGCAGCATGTCCCAGGTGTGGAGCGTCCTTCATTGGTCAAGGTGGAGTCGTAGGAGTTGCGGGTAGATGACGAGGTCTGGCCGGTGTCACTGTGGTGCGCGATAAACAAACATATATGTCAGTATTTGAAGGAGCGGCAATCCATGGGAAAAATCGAGAATCTAAGTTTGTCCTGGCAGGGGACTTACCCTTGTAGGGAGCGATCCCAACTCAACACATGTAAGCGGCCGCATCTCGTCAGTTCATCTCGATTGCCGGCACAGCATCTTATTTGGGCCGAGGAAGGACCACGCACATGACGTTGGGGTCTTGTCGGAGTTGATTGGTGAACTTGTAAGTGAATGGCTTGTTAGTTGAGGCGCTGTTTCGGGCCCGTCTTTGAGGCGCTGACCTCCTCAACGGAGCTGACGTCAATAAAGCGTTCATGAGCGTCCACGTCGAAGTTCATCGAAGTAGGTGACGAGCTTGTCCGGTCTCGACGTTCTCAACACGCAACACCGGGAAGGGACAGCTACCGAAAGAGGACAGAATTTAGCTTAGGTGACAAGAGCTGTGGCTAATTGTAAGAATAAAAGGTAGTTTTTGAGGAAAGTAGGTCAATTAGGTAGCAAGAGGGATCGCTCACTGTTCGACAGTTTAACGCTCAAGTTCGTCTTGTGAGGCGAACAGTAATCGACTGCGTGCGCAGGGCCTGGTAGTAGGATGGGCGTCACGCAGGCTGGTGAGGAAGTACTCTGTGACTCCAGGCAGGGTTCGTGCGTGTAGTTCGGGGTCACAGTAGAGCGAGAAGGGCTACCAGCTTGTTGCTTAGAGGCGCCGTGTACTTGTATTGACGGAGTTGTAGGAGCCGAGATGAGCTTGCCGAAGATTTCGAATCCTTGTCTGTTTCGTAGATGGACCACCGTCTGGAGCCGTCGCTTCGTGTAATGTTAAATTCAAAATGATTAGGAATACCGCTTCTACAGTAGGAATGTTTGATATTGCAGAATGAGAGGCACTGGTAATTGATACGGTTTTGAAAACGTTAACCAGTTCGATTCGCGTCACGCGGATTCTGCGCTCGTTAATCGAGGACATTGACCTTGTCGAAGTTGTAATCTTGTCAGTGACGTAGTAATAGTCAGGACGAGTAGGCACTCCATTCCGTCTGGTAGCGAGCAATGGGGAGTAACCATACTGGTGAAAAGAAAACATTAATAGCAATACACAATACACAGTATCTAAATGCGTAATGTCTTCTATTTCATGAAGTTTCTTGAATGCGCCCTGTATTATCTAAAGACAACGGAAACGAAATAAAGTTAGATAAATTGGTTTGCGTAAATAACCACTATATATTTTGTTTTATTTTTTCATTCGTACCTTTACGGGCCTGTTGAAGTTCAGGTACTCGACTTCGGGCAATCCCAAGCCAGGCCGCTGGCAGGTTGTAGCGGGCAGCAGGAATTTGCTGCTGGCACGTTAGGTAGAACGTTCGCCGTAAAACGGTCGACAGTGTGTGCCGTAGCGGCTTCAGCCGTCATCCAAAGGGGCTACGAGGAGTGGAAGTAGAGCGTAGTAGGGCGTTTGAGACCGAGGTACCTCGCGTGGAAAGGCCGGCCATCAGATACTCGGTGGTTGGCCTTCCTCATTGTAGGGTGGTGCGCGAGTAGATTGTCGGGATGATGATGGTGCGGCTTTCGTGGGTGCTCTTATCCAGCATCTAGAAGTTATTGTATTAGTGTTTTCCGACAATATACGCAGATAATATTGCTTAGACTAGAGCAACAATCACGAAAGTTCACTTAGATTAAAATATATATTTTTTATGCTGTAATTGCCTAATTGAGTTTCTCTTTTTGTTATAATTGTAATTATATCACTTTAAAAATGTTGCTTTCAAAACTCGTCGCTGGTTCAGCTAATAGACGTTCTAATTACATTTTCTTTAGTAAGCAAACGAGTAATTGAGTAAGCTGAGTTTTCGAATATATTTACTGTAGCAGATCTTGCCGAGCTCCGACAGCCTGTTGTGATGGTCTGAGCGCTTCAATAGAAGGAAGATGGGGCAATGCATCTCGGAAGGATGGGAGCAGCCGTAATCTGCCTTGCAGTCGTCGCGTGCAGAGACCGGCACGTCTGCAGGGCGACCACGAAGACTCCCTCATTGACGCGGTCAGCGCGCACGAGCAGCCTTCTGCAGACATTAACGAATCGGTGAAGGAGGCGTGCATTGCGGAGAGTTCGTTTCGGGGCACATGAGATAGAATGAGATGTTTGATTTTTCGAAATTTCATTCATGAGTCTTATTTTGCATAATAAATGAATTATTACAGTGGTTACTGCTAGGAAGAGCACATTGCCAAGTTTCACTTAAATTACTTTTGTACATTTTTTTAATGTTACATCTGGGCTGATGTTTGTGAAGAGCGTAAGTTTGAAGTTGTGCATTACCTGTGGTAGAAGGTATCGAAGTCCTTGGCAAAGTAGAACAAGTCCCGAAGAGAGCGACAAGCATCCTCCATTTTGGTAGTCACGCAGCATGGAGAAGATCATCACCACGGGGCAGGGAGAGAGTGTTCCTCTCACATGCGTGATGTACTCTTGACGACTTTGACGTCGTTGTAGCTTATACGAGGTTGGCCTCGGGTTCCATTGGTCGCCGATGCTCTTCTGTTCGAGGTACAAGTTAGGTTGATAGTACTGGACCAAGAGACTGAACGAGCCTTTTGTTGATTTGAGGATCTCCTTCCTCGGCTGTAACATACACGTAGTAGTTACATCTAATTCCTAAGCTTTGCCCAATTGTATATATTGAAAGTGATTGTGAGTTCCGGGATTCGGTGAAAACGGAAAACTATTGTGTGAAATGACGTAACTTGAGTTGAAAAATGTCGTTTGGTCTGAAACTTGATCCATTCTTGTTCCGCTGGATCTCTGATTGCTGAGCATGTGGTAACTCGGTTACTAACGCGCCTAGTCCGGATAACATGGGATTAAGACAATATCATTGTGAAAAATGACTATAAATAGGAGATCTACTCCGTGTTTCATGACTTATGACTGCGTTCGTGAGGAAACATTGCATTGAAAGGCGTTTAAGAGGCTTTGATCTATGTAGAAGAGCAACATTAATTTCAATCCAAACACACTTTAGAAACTTCTAGGTTAAGACTGTTGCTGCTGTCTTACGTGTGTGGAGATTGACGGCCTGCGGTGAGCGTGTGGGGGCTGCACTTACCCACGACCTTCCTTGTAAGGCCCCTGTGGCGCCACGTGGCGGAGGCCGCCAGCGCGAGTGCGAGCGCGAAAGCTGCTGCGTTCTCATGGCTGTGGGCGCGGGACGGCGCCGAAATGGTGCGGGCCTGGTTTATATAGTCCGCGGATCGCCTATATCAACCGTCACAGTAAATGCGACTAGAACGAAATAAGGAAATGAAGCGAGAATACGTAGAGCGGTCAAGAAAGAATTTGCCGAAATGTGATCGTGCAGTCAGCAGCCCATGTGCTGTAATATTGATGGAATTCTAAGAAAGAGACATCTTGACATGTTTATACACATATACAAAGCAAAGTCAGTTAAAATAAATCAATAATACATAAGCATATCAGACATAAGGAAGTATAAATCAAAAAAGACC